CGCCGTGCGCCTGTCGAGTAAGGATGCGCCTGCTGCTGCCCCATAGGCTCTGGTCACTAACATCTACCCCAGCCGTCGTCTACCTCAAGAACCGCGTATCCAAGGGCTGGTCGCCTGCCGAAGAGTATAGCCAGGCTATCCCCATACCAGAGGAGGAGAAGGCCGCCTTCCGCAGTCGCCTCGTCCCTGTTCTCGTCGCCTCCCCGCCACAAGTGCGCATACAGCTCATTCCTACCCTCCAAAAGATACTCGCATACGATTTCCCCGCCAAATGGCCCGACTTCCTCGACATCACAGTACAACTGCTGAACGCGGGAAACATCGAGTCAGTCTTCGCTGGTGTCCAGTGCCTGCTGGCGATATGCAAGATCTACAGATTCAAGTCGGGCGAGAACCGGGCGGACTTCGACAAGATCGTCGCCATGACATTCCCCCAGCTGCTCAACATCGGCAACTCGCTAGCTGGCGAGACGAGTCTAGAGGCTGGAGAGATATTACGGACGGTGCTCAAGGTGTACAAGCATGCCATCTACGTACGACCCCACAAACACAACATGTCGTCGGCAGCTAACAAGATCGCAGTTCGACCTCCCCGCATCCCTCCGCGAACAGCAAGTCATGGTTGGCTGGTGTACACTCTTCTTGACCGTCGTCGGCAAAGAACCCCCGGAGACGTCCCTCCCCGAAGACCTCGACGATCGGGAAATAAACCACTGGTGGAAGGCGAAGAAGTGGTCGTACGCGAACTTGAACAGACTGTTCGTCAGGTACGCGACACGATACTGCGCGCTTCACGCGAGCTCGGCTAACAGGGAACAGGTACGGCAACCCGTCCGCGCTGGGCAAGAACAACGAGATCGACTACACCGAGGTCGCCAAGACCTTCATCACCAACTTCGCTCCCGAGATTCTCAAGGTCTACCTCCAACAGGTCGAGAAGTGGGTCGGAAAGCAAGTCTGGCTGTCAAAGGCCAGCTTGTACTACACACTCAACTTCCTCGACGAGTGCGTCAAGCCCAAGTCCATGTGGACTCTCCTTAAGCCACACACCGACAACCTCATCGCGCATCTCATCTTCCCAGTATTGTGTCAGTCGGACGAGGACATTGAGCTCTTCGAGGAAGAGCCACAAGAATACTTGCACCGCAAGCTGAACTTCTACGAGGACGTAACCGCACCCGATGTCGCCGCGACAAACTTCCTAGTTACCCTCACGAAGAGCCGTCGTAAGCAGACGTTTACCGTGTTGAACTTTGTCAACGAGGTGGTCAACAAGTACGAGGCCGCCCCCGATAACGAGAAGAACCCGCGAGAGAAGGAGGGTGCTCTGCGCATGATTGGTACACTGTCTGGCGTCATACTGGGAAAGAAGAGTCCGATCGCAGACCAAGTCGAATACTTCTTCGTCCGCCATGTTTTCCCCGAATTCCGCAGTCCCCACGGTTTCCTCCGCGCACGCGCATGCGACACGCTCGAGAAGTTCGAACAGCTCGATTTCAAAGACCCGAACAACCTCATCATCATCTACCGCAACATTCTCGAATCCATGGCCGACCCGACGCTCCCAGTCCGTGTCGCCGCTGCTCTATCACTGCAGCCTCTCATCCGCCACGACGTCATTCGCACCAACATGAAGCAAAACATCCCTCAGGTTATGCAACAACTCCTGAAGCTCGCCAACGAAGTCGATGTCGATGCGCTCGCAAACGTCATGGAGGATTTCGTCGAGGTCTTCGCCCCGGAACTTACACCCTTCGCTGTAGCGCTCAGCGAACAGTTGCGCGACACCTACCTGCGTATTGTGCGGGAGTTGGTATCAAGAAACCAAGAGAAGGGCGAAGACAGCGAGTACGGTGACTTCCTTGACGAGAAGAGCATCACGGCGCTTGGTGTACTGCAGACGATTGGAACTCTTATCCTTACGCTCGAGAGCACTCCCGACGTCCTCCTGCATCTGGAGACCATTCTTATGCCTGTCATCACCATCACGCTCGAGAACAAGCTTTATGGTACTGGAACCCAAAACTCAGCCCTTCATTTCATGTACTAATCCAATCACAGATCTATACAACGAAGTCTTCGAAATCATCGACAGCTGTACCTTCGCCGCCAAGAGCATCTCTGGCACCATGTGGCAAGCGTTTGAGCTGATCCACAGGACATTCAAGGCTGGTGCCGAGCTATATCTCGAGGGTATGCGCGTTCTTCTCTGCTAATCGCGGTAATTTGCTAACCATATATAGACATGCTTCCTGCGCTCGAGAACTTCGTCAACTACGGCACCCCAACTCTGATCCAGAACCGGCAATACCTCGATGCCATCGTCGACATGGTCAGAACGATCTTCAAGGATGACAAGGTTGGCGGCGTTGATCGCATCTGTGGCTGCAAGCTGGCTGAGATCATCATGCTCAACATGCGTGGCCACGTTGACGACTACGTCCCAGAGTTCATTGGACTCACCATGCACGTCCTGATGAATGATGAACCTAAAGTTAAGTCCTTGAGGATACATCTCATGGAAGTGGTCATCAACTCCATCTACTACAACCCCGCCTTGGCACTGCACGTGCTGGAGACAAACGGCTGGACGAACAAGTTCTTCAGTCTCTGGTTCTCGAGCATCGATAACTTCACCCGAGTTCACGACAAGAAGCTGTGCATCTCCGCAATCTGCTCCCTCCTTACCCTATCAGCCCAGAATGTACCTGTCAGCGTACAGCAAGGCTGGCCACGTCTATTGCAGGGTGTTACCCGATTGTTCCAAACTCTCCCCGCGGCTTTGAAAAGTGAGTTTGCATTCCGATCCATCCCACCCGCAATGACTAACAAATGCACAGACCGCGAAGAAGCCAAGAAGGAAGACACCTTTGACTACTCCGCCGAATATGAAGAAGAGGAAGACGAGGAGTGGGAACAAGAAGCCGACTGGAACAACGAGGCTGACGAAACTGAGGATGTTAAGGACGAGAGTGCCGCTTACCTCGACTTCCTTAACGAGGAGGTAAGTTCAGCATTTTTAATGTTCAAGTTCCAAGCTGACCAAAGCAGGCGCAAAAGTTCAGTTCGCTCGATGATGATGACGATGACGAGCTGGAAGAGGAAAGTCTCCTCGAGACCCCGCTTGACAAGGTGGAGCCATACGGCATGTTCAAGCACGCATTGCTCCGTAAGTACTGTTCATCGAGCTACGCTAGAGCTTATGCTGATTGTACTCAGGTCTTCAACAGGAGCAGCCCGCGCTTTACGAGAACCTTACCAAGAACCTCAGCCCGGAGGAGCAACAAGTGGTTCAGGGTGCTGTTCACCAGGCCGATATTATCGCCCAAGTGCACGCCGAGGCTCAAGCAGCTGCTGCCAACGGCCAGCCGGGCTTACCGCAGCAGTAGAGTTGCTCCATCGATAGCATGGCCTTCATCCTCCAGGAAATGGAAGATCGAGCATACGTCGCTCGAAACGCCATCGGACAAATCGCCCCAGATGTTGCTGGAGAAGCATGGCTCATGGAAGTTCGCACAAGGCTGTCTCATCCATGTTGGAATGACGTACAAAAATACGGCAAACACTTACTTGGAGTTCCGGCAAACACCATTCGGCGCACATACAAGATCGAAAGGAGGAGGCACCACAAGCTATCTGTTGAAGGAGCTGTGAGGCAGTTCAAAGAAGGGGCAAACTAAACACCGTGGAGCCTACATTGAGGCCAGATTTTTCAATTTGCATGTTTTATCCCCAGTGTAGTCTGCAAACCTGTTCAGTTTCTTCTTCGGTCAGGTGGGCCTGCGGAGCAGCTGGACCCCCTCTTTTAGCGAGCATTTTGGCGTTTTGATTCTTTCCCGGGAAGAAGTTTTGAATCCGGAGGTTTGTTCCGGTAGTTGGCTGATAGTCGAGGTGGTGGGGTGGTGTAGTCATGGCGTTGGGTTTGGTTGGTACGAAAGTTATGAAAAGAGGAGGACGATATCCACGAGAGGCACCATTGCTTTGGAATGATAATCATGTATGCGTGATGAGGGTTGTTGCAAAGGCCTAAAGGCCGCAGTAGATAGTTGTTTCCTCTTATAGGAACACATTATGCAAATCCGTTACCTTGATCTGAGACCATCACTTGACTGCAGCATCTCTTTCAAGGGAGGAAGGGAATACATTGCAGTCTGTGAACTGTGCAAGTCTTGACTGGCTCGATGGTATTGGTTTTGGTATGTTGTCTACGGTTCCATCTCGACCATGAGTTTGAAAGATCATATGCTAGAGGCGGAAACGCTGCTGCCTTGTAGGCTGGATCGGCATCAGAAGATTTCCCTGGAATGATTTGCAGTTGTGAGGACATCACGTAATCGACGTTGGTAATCTATCCGATGTCCAGTTCTCGGTTGGTTCGATGTCTTCGGTCTTGGTAGGTAACAGCAACCACAGTACCATCTAAACCACAAGTTAGTATCATGTGCTCTGGGCGGAGATGCTGCTGCCTTGGGGATGGTCGAGTACAAAATGTCGCTCTTTCGGTGATACTCTTTCATTTATTATCTTCCTCTTCTTCATCTGAAGCTCATACACGATTACTCGAAGTAACACTCGAAGTCACCTAAAGTACCTTTCAAAGTCATCGCGATTGGATCATCACGAGACGAGCGCGCAGACAAAAAATACACTCGAAGTCGTTGCAATCGGGTCATCACGAGACGATCTATACGTTAGATTGGCGAGTTGCTGTCGCCCTGTCGATCGCGAGGGAAAGTCGCGGCGCGCGCCCTATCGATAAGCCACGAACTACGCCTATGACGCTTGTTTGATTATCGCAACCCGAAACGTGGTAACAAGCATCGCGCCGGCAGCCTCACTCGCACAACACCTAGTACTACCTCGAAACAATTCCTCATCCCTACGCGACTCTTGGATCTCGCGAATATCTCTCCGACCAACCCTTTGCCTTTCCCGCGACTACGCCTGGTTGGGAAGCGTGGTTTAGTGCGGCACACGATTGCGCGCGCAAGAAACTGGATATGTCGCGTCCGACTGTCAGCAAGGCGAGGACAGGGTATCCGATATTCGCTGCGACGTTTGCGAGTAACAGGCCTGGGGTCCTCGTTGTAGGAGGTAAGTCACCCTCATGCCGACATCGCCAACTAGACTGACTCGAATACAGGTGGTGGGGGTGTGAGTACTGACCCTGTATCAAAACGCGATTGACACGCCTGCTGACCACTTCTCATATCAGGCTGGACGATCCGGTGTCAAAAACCAAATCACAGCCTTCGACTTCACCTCACGAGCGCCGACCGTACAACCCTTCGCGGAAATCGAAGCGAGCAAGGACGACTCGATAACGTGTTTGGACAACCTGTCTACGAAAGATGGCCTTATTTTGTTCGCTGGAAACAATAGCAGTGAGGATGACCGGCTAAAGGGCAACAATGAACATCTGAGGGCATTCGAGCTGAAGTATCCGAATGGTGCTGAGAAAAGAGACGGAAACGTTGAGTACCTCAGCAAGATAAGGCTCTTCACCGCACCGCAATCGAGTTCCGCAAAGAAGGAAGCCTACCAACGTATCGTGAAACTCTCAAAACCTCAACGATCGACCTCGAATACACCCAGCAGACGCATCGGAGCGATCGCATCAAGTCTTGGAGACGATAACGAGGTCGTCATCTTTGCCGCTACATCTACGAGACCTACGGATCAGGACGTCATAGGGCGAATCAGTTTACATAATGGCCAGGAAGCTAACGACATGGACTTTTGGACACAAGAAGAGGGGAAATATCAGCTAGCTTACGTCACCGATTCGGAAGTCTTCGTGCAGACTGTCAACTGGGATTTTGATTCAAGGAAGAGCAAGGGAAAGAACGAGCACAGGAAGCTCTACACCATTCCACACGTCGAGAAGGGTGCGAGGAGTAAGCTGCGATGTGTACGGTGGCTTTCGCCGAAACATCTGCTACTATTAAAGAACAAGCCTAGCAGAAGCGGCGTGGAGTTGCTCCTTGTTCATCTCTACGAAGAAGGCCAGGCAAGCGTTGTCCTACGGAAAGCAATGCCCAAGCACGTCAAGGCGGCTACAGATATGGACGTCAGCTTGCTCGATGCAGACAAGGATGGCGCTTATCAAATTGCGATCGCGATCGCAGCGATTGACATATCCTTGACGGTGTATACGATGGATTACCATGGACCTGCCAGAGATTCTCTGAGCTCGTTTCACGCATTCAACAGCTATGATAATGTAAGCGTAAAGACACCAGAGGAGCCCGACACGTGCTAACAAAAGCAGGTTCACGAAGTGCAAATGACAAAGACTGTCTTCTCGCCATTCTACAAGCCCGAAGTACCAGCTGGTCGTCAAGCGCCACCCCAATATCTGCGTTTGGCGAGCACGTCTTTGGGAAACACGATCAGTGTCGAAACATTCCAATTACAGGACATCGGGTCGCGCTATGTTCTCCAGACGGCGCGTTCGAGAAACATGTTCACAGCAGCAACCTATCTCGTTATCGCCATGGTCGTCGCAGTGGCCGCTCTCCTGATTCAGTCACTCATAGATCCGGAGGGCAACCTTACCAAAGGCATACTTCCCGCCAGTCTGCAGAATGCAGCAAGCCAGCACAAGACGTTTGGAGAAACACTGCGTGAGAAACGCCACAACGCTATCCTCAACAATGCGGACTCATCGGTGGTCAAGACATCACATCGGATCGCAGATCTACTACATCTCCACCTCCCTCACGTTCTCTCCGACACCAAGCCATCCGAGCCTTCAGGTCAACAAAAGGCGCTAGTAATACATCACGACCCTGAATCTGACGGCACACTCAGTACAGAGGTCCACGCTGGAGACGAGGATGTCTTGAAGAAGCACGCCTCTGCGAGAAAGTGGGAAGAGCTCAGCCACGAAGAGAAGAGCCAATGGAAGGAGAAGCTGAGCGATGCGGGTATGTGGGCTGTGGGTGAGGGCGAGACTATTCTGAAGTCTATATTCTTCGGACAGATCGGTGGAGTCATTGGCCATGTTGCAGAGGGCGTATTGGCTGGCTAAGACAAGTCGCGGTGAGGGGACGACTGCACAATGGCCATGGATGGCGGCCTATGTGTGTGCTTCGTAGTGTGTGATACCTAATTTCTACTACCTGACGTTATGGAACTCTTTCAGTGTGATACTGCGCGGTGAATGGATGTGTATCATGTTGAGCGGGAAGTGTCTCTAATACTGGGTTGTCATTGGACTATGGTGTGCACAACACTGACACCGGTACTTTTCCTTTACGACGATAAGTGGAATAGATGACATGTGGGTGATTGATCCAGTCTTTTACCTTTGCTCGTGCGGTAGGCCTGGCCACACTCACCCGTTATCCTCACCGCGTTGCTAATCACGGGCTGGTGTTGCGGATCCCCGGTGTGCGCTTTGGGTTAGCTCCCGAGGCTCGCGTGAGGTCAATGCGCTAGTCCGCGTTCGTGACATACGGCTGCAGCGTCCAGTAACTTTGGCAACACCAATTCTCCCCACGCGCCCCTCTACAACACTCTTTTCGCTCCTTTTCATGGATGGAGTGAGACCGCAAACTCTTGCTGCGAAAGGCTTCCGTTGAAGCAGTCAAGATGTCGCAGCAGGGTCCCCTTTCGGCCAACCTGGACCGCATAGTCCACGACCTACGGTCAAAGTGAGCTCCACGAAGTACAACGATTGCGAGAGGCGGCTGACAAACCAAGAAATGACGAGACGCGACAGCGAGCAGCAACCGCGCTGCGACAGCAGGTCGAATCGGCGCATCGAGGTGAGAGACAACGCGAAGAACCCCGCCCAAGCTACGGGAAACTGACGTTGTGCAGAACTCGCGCCCAACGTCTTCACCACATTCAACAATGAAGTCTACACCAAGATCTCGGGCCTCATCGTCACCGGCACCGACTCGAACGAACGCATCGGCGGCATCCACGCGCTCAACGCCCTGATCGACTTCCGCGGCGACGATGCGGGCCAGAAGACGACGCGGTTCGCCTCATACCTTCGGGCGGTAATGCGGGGTCAGGATATCACAGCCATGGTGGTCGCGGCCAAGGCCCTCGGACGACTCGCGAAGCCCGGCGGTACACTCACGGCGGAGCTGGTCGAAGCAGAGGTCAAGGGCGCATTGGAGTGGCTGCAGCTGGAGCGCCTGGAGAATAGACGCTTCGCCGCTGTCCTCATCCTGCGGGAACTGGCGAAGAACTCGCCTACGCTCATGTACCAATGGATTGCGCAGATCTTCGAGGTCATCTGGGTCGCCCTACGAGATCCAAAGGTCCTCATCCGGGAGTCCGCCGCCGAAGCCATCAGCGCCTGTTTCGAGATCATATCCCCGCGCGACTCGCAGATGCGCCAGCTATGGTTCGGAAAGGTCTATGACGAGATCCTACGCGGCTTCACCATCAACACGAACGAAGCGATTCACGGTTCCCTCCTCACCATGAAGGAGCTCCTCGACAAGAGCGCCATGTTCATGAACGACCAGAAGTACAAGGAGACGGTTGAGCATGTACTGAAGTACCGGGAGCACCGCGACGCCCTGGTACGGAGGGAAGTGGTACTCATCATACCCATTCTCGCTGGTTACTCGCCAACCGAGTTTGCGACCAAGTACCTACATCAGTGCATGCTACATCTCCAAGGTCTCATTAGGAAGGACCGCGACAGGGACAAGGCATTCGTCGCCATTGGACAGATCGCCAACGCGGTCGGAGTCGCCATCTCACCATACCTCGAGGGCATTCTGGGCTTCATACAGGAGGGTCTGATCGCGAAGGCTCGTAACAAGGCCGCCATCAACGAAGCGCCAATCTTCCAGTGTCTCAGTATGGTTGCGGCAGCGGTCGGTCAGGCACTCACCAAGTCTGTTGAGCGGTTACTGGATCCCATCTTCTCCTGCGGTTTGAGCGATGCACTCTTCCAAGCTCTTGTAGACATGGCGCATTACGTACCACCGTCACGCCCTATGATCCAAGAAAAGCTCTTAGATCTTCTCAGCCAGATCCTTGCTGGACGACACTTCCTCCCCCTCGGCAGTCCCTTCCAAATCTCACAACCTCCACAAATATGGACACGCGACCACAAAGACCCTTCGATTATCCCCCAGCGGGAGGCAGAGATCGCACTGGCACTACACACACTCGGTAGTTTCGACTTCACAGGCCATGTGCTGAACGAGTTCGTCCGCGATGTTGCCATCCGATACGTCGAAGCCGATAACGCTGAGATTCGGAAGCGCGCCGCCTTGACCTGTTGTCAGCTTTTCGTCAAGGACCCTATTGTACACCAGACTAGTACTCATGCGACAAAGGTGGTAGGCGACATCATCGAGAAGCTCTTAACTGTCGGCGTAGGTGACGTTGAACCCGACATTCGGTGGGATGTCCTCATGGCACTGGATGCACGTTTCGACCGTCATCTTGGAAAGGCAGACAACGTCCGCACTCTGTTCCTCGCTCTCAACGACGAGGTCTTTGCTATCCGAGAGGCTGCCATGTCCATCATTGGTCGCCTGACGGCCGTCAATCCTGCCTACGTCTTTCCTTCCTTGCGCAAGGTACTACTTCAGCTGCTGACTGAGGTCAACTACGCCAACAGCCCTCGCAGCAAGGAAGAGAGCGCCAAGTTGATTAGTAGTCTAGTCGGCGCCGCGGACAGCCTCATCAAACCGCTGATAGATCCTATTGTTGAGGTTCTGCTGCCCAAGTGCAAAGACTCAAACCCCGAGGTTGCTTCAACAACGCTCAAGGCTATTGGCGACCTCGCCACAGTCGGCGGCGAGGGTATGGTCAAGTACATCAAAGATCTCATGCCCGTCATCCTAGACTTTATGCAAGATCAGACGTCGGATGCTAAGCGATTCTCGGCTCTGAAAGCTCTCGGACAGCTGGCGACAAATGCCGGCTATGTCATAGAACCGTACCGGGAATATCCAGAACTAATGAACATTCTGATGAGCATCGTCAAGACGGAACCAGAAGGTGAACTCAGAAGGGAGACTGTTAGGCTCATGGGTACCCTTGGAGCCCTGGATCCGGACGAGTATCAGAAGATCATGGAACAGTCGCCGGACAAGCACCTCATCCTGGAAGCGCAGGCTATCACTGATGTCTCGCTCATCATGCAGGGCACAACACCCTCGAATGAGGAGTACTACCCTACAATTGTCATCAGCACGCTCATGGGACTACTTAAGGATCCGTCTCTTGTGCAGTACCACACTGCCATCGTCGAAGCTGTCATGAACATCTACGCGACCATGGGATTGAAATGTGTTCCTTTCCTCAGCCAAGTCGTACCTGGCTTCCTTCACGTTATCCGATCAACGCCGGCTGGACGCTCGGAAGGCTACTTCAATCAGCTTAGCCAGCTTGTTCGAATTGTTCGCCAACATATCCGACCATATCTGCCCAGCATCCTTGCGACAATCAAGGAGTATTGGAGTAGCAGTCCGCAGCTACAAGCCACTATTCTCTCCTTGATTGAGGCTATTGCCCGCTCGTTGGAGGGCGAGTTCAAAGTCTATCTAGCTGATGTTCTACCTCTCATGCTGAGCGTTCTTGATTCCGACCAGACCGGCAAGCGGTTGCCCTCAGAGCGGGTACTGCACGCATTCCTCATCTTCGGCTCCAGTGCAGAAGAGTACATGCATCTCATCATCCCGGTCATGGTCACAATGTTCGACAAGCCGGGTCAACCCATCCAGATCAGGCGACATGCTATCGAAACACTAGGACGGTTGTCGAAGCAAGTCAACGTGTCGGAATTCGCCGCACGTATTGTGCATCCCCTGTGCCGAGTGTTGTCCGGCAGCGAGCCAACCCTCAAGCAGACTGCGCTCGAGACGCTCTGCGCACTCATCTTCCAGCTTGGCCCAGATTACATCCACTTTGTACCGACGGTCAACAAGATTCTCATTGCGCACAAGGTGCCGCATGAGAACTACGGACGCATCGTATCAAAGCTGCAGAAAGGCGAGCCATTGCCTCAGGATCTCAGTCCAGATGAGCGATACGGCGAAGACGACGAAGACTTGAACCCTGCGGAGATCCTCACTAAGAAGTTGGCGGTCAACCAGCAGCATCTCAAGCAGGCCTGGGAGGCTTCTAACAAGACCACCAAGGAAGACTGGATCGAATGGATGCGAAGGTTCAGTGTTGAGCTCCTCAGGGAGTCGCCACAACAAGCACTACGCGCCTGCACACCACTTGGCAGTGTGTACAATCCGATCGCACGTACTCTTTTCAACTCGGCGTTCGTCTCATGCTGGACTGAGCTTTACGATCAGTACCAAGAAGAGCTTGTTCGGTCTATAGAGACAGCACTCACATCGCCCAACATCCCGCCTGAGATTCTACAAGTTCTACTCAACTTGGCAGAGTTCATGGAGCACGACGACAAGGCCCTACCCATCGACGTGCGGATACTGGGTATGTATGCTGGAAAGTGTCACGCTTTCGCCAAGGCATTGCACTACAAGGAGCTCGAGTTCAACGCGGAACAGAATTCCAGCGCTGTGGAAGCCCTTATCAGTATCAACAACCAGCTGCAGCAGACCGATGCGGCCTTTGGTATCTTGCGAAAGGCGCAGAACTATGCCGACGTAGAGTTGAAAGAGACTTGGTTCGAGAAGTTGCAGAAATGGGACGAAGCGCTTGCTGCGTACCAGAGGCGCGAGCTCGAAGAACCCGACTCTTTCGATGTCACCATGGGCAAGATGCGCTGTTTGCACGCTCTAGGAGAGTGGGATCTGCTTTCCAGCTTGTCAAAGGAGAAGTGGGCCAACGCGACGCAGGAGTATCGTAAGGCGATAGCACCGCTCGCTGCAACGGCCGCCTGGGGTCTGGGCAAGTTTGCGGACATGGACAACTACCTTGGTGTCATGAAGGAACAGTCGCCCGACCGCGCTTTCTTCGCCTCCATTCTCAACATCCACAACAACCGCTTCGAGATTGCCGTCGACGAAATCGCCAAGGCTAGAAAGGGTCTCGACACTGAGTTGAGCTCGCTCCTAGGAGAGTCTTACCAGC